GAGTTTAAAAACATTGCTTTGTACTTTGCATACATGTTCATTTTTGTGAGAAAATACACGTAGCCCTATAGAACAAGGCGTTGGTGTCGTCGTTAGCATAAGGTTGATTGGCTTGGATATGTTTGGGTTCAAGAGCTTATGTGCTTATTTTTGATAAAGTCGAGGGGCAAAAAATTAGGTTAAAGTACCATTTTGATCCCTCAACTTTCTACTTTTGTATCAAAATTGTCCCTCAACTTTAAAAAGTATCAAAATTATCCTTAAACTTTCATTTTCGGTACCAAAATGGTCCTTCTATCAGTTAAATGACAGATGGCACATTAAAATGCCACAAAATCAGTTCTTTTTTTGCTTGACTAATGACATGGAAAAAAAAACACAGTTGGCCATTTTTTTTATGAGGTGGCATTTTTATTTAATTTAAAAATTTTGATATTCTTTTTTTCCATCCACGTCATCTCTTCTTCCTCTTTCACTTTCTCTTTCCTTTACCTTTTCTTTTCCCTTGCCTCTGCAAACCCAAATCTGTGTTCTCTCGCAAACTTCACCTTCTTCCTCCTTTCCTTTCCCTGCTCATCCTTCTTCCTTCTTCTTTTTATTCTTTCTCTATCTTCTCCCTTCTTCTTCCTCTTTCAAACCCAAATCTAGGTTTTTCTCAAACCTAGATATGGGTTTCATCACATAACATGGAAACTAATCTCGAATATACTAAACAGCAAAGCCGAGATCTCCTAACCCAACTAATAGATAGGAACATAGATTAAAAAGAGTAAAGAATTTCTAGAAAAAAAAAAAGCGATTCGAGCCAAATCACATACAAGCCAATTGCAGATCTAATCTCGAAAATAATCAACACAAAAACTACCGAATCAACTTAGAAAATAGGTTTAATACCCAATTTGGTCCCTAAACTTTCATTTCAGAACTTAGTTCGTCCCTTAACCTCAAAAAGCACTCAAGTCATCCTTTAACTTTATTTTTCTATAACCCAAATGGTCCTTCCGTTGACAGACTGCAAACGTGGCACGTTAAGTGTCCAACAATTATCACTTTCATTTTTTATAAGCCTATGTGGAAAAAACAACTCAAGCAATTGATTATCTGGCACCAATTTTTATTCCACGTTTGATTTTTGTCCCTCCAACCTTCTAAATAAAACAAAATAGTGGGGCAAACATGTCATTGTCTCCTTTATCGATGCAAACTCACCTCCCCCTTCCAGATTCTTCACTTCACTCTCTTTCCGTTTCCCCTTTAACCCCTAGATCCCTTCTTCTTCGAAAACCCCTAAATCTTCTGGTAATAACCGGCAACCATTCCTTCTTCTTCTTCAACCCATAAATCCTCTGGAACTACTCTTGATTCTTTCTTCTCGAAACCCTTGATTCCAAGTCGGATCTGTTGGCAGCGGCGTAGGTTAAGGAGAACAAAAACAAAGGCGTGAGGTTTCAAGAGGTCTAGGCCCTCTGATGTCCACCCAAACCAAGCTTCTTCGATGTTGACCGTGAGAACCTAGATCTGGGTTTTTCCCTCATGTCCATGTATTGGGATCTGGAGTATTGAAATGGGATTCTTGATTTTGACTTTGTAGGTTGTTCTTATTGCTTTAGGTGATGCGATTTTTGCTTGCTAGATTTGATCAAGAAACCCAAATTCTGATATGGCTTTTTCGCCGGAGAAGATGAAGATGAAGATGCATCTAATGTGGGATTCTCGTCGGAGAAAATGAAAAACCCAATTAATGAATCAATTAGTTTTATATTTTTTAAAGGTTATAGTAGCTTAATTAATTATGAATTAATTGCTCCCTCATGGATCTTCTCTTCACTTTTGGAGGACGGCTCCATGTATACCATCTGTAAAAAGTTGATAAATCCAACTAAAAATTGCAGTGTTGTTCCTACAAAGTTTGAGAAGTTTTCCTTTCTTTTTTAAATGTCTACAGTTCCCCACTGGTTTATTTAGAAGGTGGGAGAGACGGAAACGCGAGGTTGAATGAATTTGTTTTCGTGTTATCAATTGGCTGTGTTGTTTTTTCCATGTAAGCTTATAAAAATTAAAAGTGGTAATTGTTGGACACTTAACGTGCCAGGTATGCAATTTGTCAACGGAAGGACGATTTGGGTTATAGAAAAATAAAGTTAAAGGATGACTTGAGTGTTTTTTGAAGTTAAAGGACGAACTAAGTTTTGAAATGAAAGTTTAGGGACCAAATTGGGTATTAAACCTAGAAAATACACATAGAAAACACAAAATAAGCAAAAGAACGAAACCAGATCTATACCCTCCTTCTCTTCCCCTTCGCCTTGATCACTTTCCTCTCCCTTGCTTTCACCTACTTCTTCCTCTTCACTCTCTATTGCTGCTACAGCTACAGCAAGGGTTGAATAATTTCTCCTAAAATACCCATTGTCCACTGACGCCGAACCCAGGCTACTCCAAGCGTCCCCAAGCATCAAGCAGGGTGGAGTGGCCTCTTTAGACCAATAGTCTTCACGGATGGCAAGGGACGGGAATTAGGGGGTAACCAAGTTTGTTGAGGTGGATGAGGCAACCGAGTTTGTTGACGAGGGTAAGATCCAACTCCAGGTTGCGGCTAGTTCTAGTGCTGATCCAAGAGTGGTAGCGTGGCTAATGGGGCTGGAGTCATTACTGAAGAAGAACCGGGTTCTGATAAGGAAGAGTCCAGGTCCGGTAACACAGAGCAGGTTGATGAATTTTATGGATTATTTATTGGAGTTTGATATGACGGAAAGCAAGCATCGCCGGGTGAGGACGTTGGTATCGTTTCGAAAAGCAAGCCGAAGAAGGGAGCAGCTTTTCTAAAACCCAGATCTGGGTTTGAGAAAGGAAGAAGAAAGGAGAGGAGAGAGAGAGAAAGAATAAGAAGAAGAAGGAAGAAGGATGAGCAGGGAAAGGAAAGGAGGAAGAAGATGAAGTTTGCGAGAGAACCCAGATCTGGGTTTGCAGAGTAAGGGAAAAGGAAAGGTAAAGGAGAGAGAAAGTGAAAGAGGTAGAAGAGATAACATGAATTGGAAAAAAAAAAGGATATCAAAAATTTTAAATTAAATAAAAATGTCACCTCATACAAAAAGATGGCCAACTGTGTTTCTTTTTTCCATGTCATTAGTCAAGCAAAAAAAAGAATTGATTTTGTGGCATTTTAATGTGCCACCTGTCATTTAACTGACGGAAGGACTATTTTAGTATCGAAAATGAAAGTTTAAAGATAATTTTAGTATTTTTGAAAGTTAAGAGACAATTTTGATACCAAAGTGGAAAGTTGAGGGACCAAAATGGTACTTTAACCAAAAAATTAAGTTTGCTGGACTGGAGACCAAAGCTCGAACTCAACGATAAATGCAGCAACATTTATGAGAAAGCCACTCATCTCATCTAGAGTCAATCAAGAAAATACAAAAAATTAAAAATTGAAGGGAAAAACATGAGTTTTCTCGCTGGAAGA